AAAAAAAAAAAAAAAAAAAAAAAAATATATATATATATATATATATATATATATATATATATATATATATATATATATATATTCTGAATATGCAGTTTTAGCCATATATGCACAGGATTTATGCTTCTGTATTGTATATAATTACATACAGTATTAAAATTTAATCAAAAGGCATCTAAATTAATGAGATATACTTGCCATGGTCAAAGCGGAGTTCAGTTAAATTAAAGAGAATCTGAGATTGAATTAGTTAAATGTTGTGTGGGGATTGTGAAGAAACCAACACCCTACTTGAATATTATTGTGTTAGGTGAGACTGGTGCGGCTGGAAATGCGTTTGTTGTTAACGCATCCGGCACACCTCGGCTTTGTGGATGCTTTGATGACGGTCTCCTGAAATGTTACGCCGTCCAACAGAATCACCTGATTTATGCGTATGAGGTTATATAGTAACATCGAAATAAAGCGATGTTAATACTACACTAACTGTTGTTTTACGACTTGTATATGCCATGTAGTAGTTGTCTAAAATTGCGAGTTAACGTCGTTGGAAACGTTGCAATAATTATGCTGCACCAAAAGGTGTCCAAATGTACTAAAAATTACCTTCAATGAAAACGCGTACAATATGGAGTAAATTTCTATGCTTTTTAATGGTTTGATGGACGGGCCTAAAGATTTTAGTCGCTTTTTTCTTCTGCACGTGCGTGTGTCATGATTAAATGAATCTATGAAATTGTTTAACAAAGGGTTTTTTCAGTAGTCAGTAAAATGGCGCATGCAACGAAATGCATGGTGTTTGCCCCCATACCCTTTTGGTATTTGTTTTATTTACTAAGCACTGATATATGCTAAAGGTTGTGACGTTACATGCACTTTCTGCCATCGTGAATATGTGTTCCATTAAAAAGTGATTGTAAACATTGTTGCCCCCGGCGCTTGTCACCCTTTGCAAAGCTGAATTAACTGACGATGCATTTACCCTACACGGTACAGGGACTGAACATTTCCTGTCCGAATTCCACCTCTAAATTTGCTTCAGTATATGGTTTGACAGAAAAATCGAAAGCTTCGTTTGGCTTAGTTGCTTCAACGCGTTGGAGGAAAATTGAGTGAAACCAGCGTAACGTTTCTATTCCCTGACAAGGTTAAGTCTTGTTCAGATACAGACCGCAAGATAATTAGCAACCGTACTGAACAGCATTTAGGGGCCTACTTTCTTTAATTAAATTCTGTGAACTGACAGCTGCATGCAACCACATATTTTCAAATTTGGCTATTTTCAAACACGCTCAGCGCTATTTTGGATTGTTACTCAAATCATTCGCATCACCCTGTATAACGCTAAAAAGATCGTATCGGCATAGCAGAACTACGAGAGGTATTGGCAATGCTAAGGCATATAGCAAAATGTCTGGGTACCCCAAAGCGTTATCCGTCCACCTAGGGTGAACTTATTTATTTATTTATTTATTTATTTATTTATTTATTTATTTATTTATTTATTTATTTTTTTTTTTATATGTTTGTTTGTTTGTTTGTTTGTTTGTTTGTTTATCCATATGGTTATTTACTCGCTTTTAACAGCGTACATAAGTTTGAAATCTGTTAAAAATAGAATATTCAAATATCATGCAGTAAGTTTTCATTGCTATTGGATGCGGCTTATCCACACACTCCAAAGGTGAATGTCCTATAGATATTTGAATCCCCACGAGGTGACGTGCATTAGATTTACCAAGGTTGCTCTGGGAATTGAGAAGATAAATACATCAGAAATGAGAAAGAGATTGGCATGTTGGTACTTAAACATAAGAATCTTCAAAAAAAAAAAAAAACTCTCTCTGTCTCTCTCTATATATGTTTCTGTATAAGAGTCCTTGAATTTAACTTAAACCAAAAAGCACAAAAAAGTGCAGGAATTGAACAGTTGCGTTGAAACGTCTGGAAATTACTTCATTGAGAGCACAGATGATATTAAAGAATGGATTCCATCGTCAATCTAAGACTACTCCTGATCCGGTAAGATAAATATATGCTCACAGCCGTCATCTATTATCACAAGGAATGAGTTCTGACAAAGATAAGGCAGTGGTATTAAAGGATCTTCCGCTAAATGCATTTATAATCGGGACGAGCGATTGCCGGCATATAATGTGTATTCCGTGCGGGCAGGAGAAGTGCTCCAAAGGCAGTTTTCCAAGAATGTGGAAGACAAATGACCAAGGCAAAAAAGAGATAAAACTGGAAACGTATTCCAGTTGGCATGGTGTAATCTTTTACTTAGTGCAGTCCACTGATTCCCGGCTGGGTTAATCGGTATACATGTACAGAATGAATAACGGTACAAACAGAGACACACACGCACACAAACACAGACAAAGTCTTGCCCCCCCTCCCCCCCCCCCCACCCACACACACAACCACACACACAGTGACACACATACAGAAATTAATGTGTTGGATTGTATAGTGGGAGAACAAGCAGGCATAATCATTTTTGCGTGTGTTCTAGAAATTAACATTATCGATATATTTGGAAAAGTTCATAACAAATGTCAAAGGGAAAGAACGCAAGCAAACAAGACTCGGTTGTCATAGAAGACAACTGAGATTTTGGCTGCGGAACTAGAGTGATTTGCCCATGGTGAAAGAGTCTTGCTCAATTAAAACATTGAGGTTATCATCATATCATGAGCCCACGAGAACAGTAGAGTTGTTAAAGCAATCACAATCACTGTATTCAAATAAAAGCTTATGGGTCATATAATATCTGTAGACATCCATGTACACGTTGACAGCATAAGCATGGATACTCAAAGTAAAACAAAATTACTTTACAGCAGCACAAATCCAACCACAGGCAGTCCCGTGAGACATTTTTCACTAACTTACAATTACCGGTGGCACAAATGAGGCATTTCTGGCAAAACGGAAATTGGACAATAGCTTACTGAGATGCATTAAAAGCCACATTATTAGAATCGGACATGCGCGGCTCAATTTGCTATTAATGGACGCTCTCATAACAGGGTCAACTACGTTATATTGGTAGTTGGTATAGACATACTGACGTCATCGAACGGCCATATTGCTTAACATGGGGTTTAATGGCCTACATGTACATGTACGTTCCGATGGGGCTGACACGTGTTTGGATCGACTGGAGACAATACTTTTAAGTTACCTTCATTAAAATCAGTCCCCGGTGATGTCACTTATCTATTTTCGGTGACGTCACTTGAACAGTTCCCACTAACGTCAGTTAGTCAATGTCCCGTGACGTCAGTCAATTTTTTTTTCTATGGAGGTCAGCTACTCTACACCCGGTCCACTACGAAACAAATATGAACGCGCCTTTGAAAATAGAAATTGCTATAGCTATGTGTTTTAAATCCGTAGACAATTGAGACTGAATCAGTTATACATACATCAGTCAAACCCCAGTGCAAACTTAGCTGATACAAGCAGGGATGTGCTCGCTGATTAGAAAAGGTGAATGTATCAATTATACAAAAGACGGGCAATAGGGAAAACTAGACTGGTAGTTAAGTTTGTTTGGAAGCAGTCTGGCTGACACGAGGTATTCATTTGGTTGTGTATATCCCTCAGACAGAACTGGTAAGTATGGTTTGAACACT